CCCTCACTCTTTCTCTCTTTCCACCCCCTCACCCCTCCGCTGGGTGGGAGGAGGAGAGCTTGGCAGCACACAGAAAGATTTGAATCCTTTTGATTAGCAGCCTGCATTCCCACTACTGTTATGCCAAATTATTATTTTTTTCAGAGCTCCTGCCATTTTAAAAAAGAGAATTTCCAGATAAGACTTCTATAAGGCCAGGAACCCATGTTAGAGAATCCCAGCTGTACTGCTCTGTTCTGCATACACACAATCAAATGGGAAAGGGAAACTTGTGCAAGTTTTGGAACTGTTTTATAGCATGATATTAGGAAAATATTACTGTAGGATTCCTCCACATTCTGACTTGGAGGAGAGGGTAACCCAAAGCAGAATGACCTTGGAAGCTAAGCAGGGTGGCCCTGGTTAAAACCTGGATGAGTGACTTAAATACTGTGAACCACCCAGAGAACTTTGGCTATGGATGGTATAGAAATGTAATGTCATAATAATGCAATACTATTCTCGGAGGGCTACAGGGACTGAAACACAGGCAGAAATGATGCAACCTGGGTGCTCTCTCCACTGGCTTCACACAGTGTAAGCTGTGCGGAAAAGCAGAAGTGCAGCGAGTAGAAGTTGCCCCCTGAAATGTTCTGGTGGGCTGGTGAAGTGGCAATACGAGCAAACAAGCGGTGCCTCCAGGTGGAGGGCCCCTGGCATCACCCGTCAGACGGTATCGTGCAGTGATGCCATTCATGTCTCCCAGAGGTCAGGAAAAAGGTAGAAGTGGTGCTGCAACCTGGGAGGGAGAGTGTTACAAGTAGGAGACGATGCCCTCCGGGCCCCCTGTGCATTTTTGTGAATGAAACAAGGCTGTGGCCCTCGAAAGCTTCATCAGGAACCGCCCAGGATTGCAGTCGGGGACCAGCAACTCCAGTCACTTAAAGTTTCAAGCGTCAAAACAAACCACAGGTGAGGTCCATGGCAGTCGGCATCGTAGCTGGATCAGTGGTCCAAGGAAGGAGGGCTCGGGAGCAAGTAGCACGAGATAGACACAATAGGATAGAAATTCAGGCTGAAAGACAGCTTGAATGCCAAGTCAGGGCCAATTGTTGCTCTGGCAAAAGTCTGGGTTCAGATAACATGACTGAATTTGGGTTGTATGTGGATGGAATGTGGATTGTCACTGAACCATAAACGGTTGTTGAAATATGAATAATCCTGTTGTCTGAGCACAGCTGCTCTAACAAACCATGGTTGGATAAACAAGAACAACCCATGGAGAGAATCCATCATTTGTTGCTGTGCTGTGAACTAAGAGTTGTTCGTGTTTAACCAACCATAGTTTGTTAGAGAAGCTGTGTTCAGGCAAAAGGATTATTCATATTTCAACAACCGTTTATGGTCCAGTGACAATCCACATTCCAGCCTTACGTCCATTGTAGGGAAAAAAATGGAAAGGCTCATAATAGGGAGAGATCCAGTGATGCTAAGATAGGGAAGGGAGGCTGGTGGCCACACAACACAGCTTCCGCAAAAACAGGTCCTGCCAGACAAACCTTGTGGAACTCTATGACAATGTTTCAAGGTGGCTAGACGGAAGGGAAGCATGGAATGTGGTTTCCCTGCATTTCAGCAAGGCCTTTGACAAAGTGCCCCATGATATCCTGGTTGAGAAACAGTAGTTTTGGGATAGATCACTGCACTGTCCGATGGATTAGGGCATGGTTGACTGACCGAAAGCAGAGGGTAACCATTAGTGGGGAATCATCAGGATGGTGACCAGTGACAAGCGGGGTCCTCCAGAGCTCTGTCTGGGGCCGATCCTGTTTAATCTTTTCATCAACGACATGGAAGAAGGGGTGACCAGCCTGATGATCAAATTCTTACACGATACTAAAACCAGGGCAGTGGCCACAACTGAGGAGCAGGTACTCCAGATCCAAAAGGATCTGGACAGACAATAGAAGTGGGCAGGAGACAACAGGACGGCATTCAATGTGGATAAGTGCAAAGGTTAGGGACAAGTGGCTGGAGAGCAGCACTTGTGAAAGGGACCTCGAAGTGCTGGCTGACTGCAGGCTGAACATGAGTCAGCAGTGTGATGCGGTGGTCAAGAGGGCCAACGCCACCCTTGGTTGCATAGCCAGAAGTGTGACTTCTAGATCGAGAGAGGTATTACTACCACTCTATACAACTCTGGTGTGCCCACAACTGGAGTATTGTGTTCAGTTTGGGGCCCCTCATTACAGGAAGGATATTGCCAGGTTAGAATCAGTGCAGCGTAGGGCCACACAGTTGGTGGCCAGTTTGCAGGGGATGGGGTATGAGGCAAGACTGAGGGAACTGGGTCTCTTCAGCCTGGAGAAGGGGAGACTCAGAGGGGACCTGTTGGCGACATGCAGGTATGTGAGGGGATGTCACACAGAGGTGGGTAGAGACCTGTTCTCCCCTGCAGAGGAGGGCAGGACGCGCTCCAATGGAGTAAAGCTCAGGGAGCCAAGGTTCCATTTGGATGCCAGGAAGTACTTCTGACAGTTAGGACCCCGAGGGTATGGAATGGGCTTCCACAGGATGTGGTTGGAGCCCCATCGGTGAGAGTGTTCAAGGATAGGCTAGACATGCCCATGGTGGGCATGCTGTGAGCAGAGCCGGCTGGAGCTGGGGGTCAGACTAGATGGCCCGGGAGGCTCTGTTTCTATGTTAGATCATCTGAGTTCAGTCGATAATCCATGTTTCAACAAACCATGATTCAACCCAAAGCACACTCATCTCTCCCTCAGCCATGAACTGTGCGTTCTCATGTTCTCTGAATACAGTCTATGTCTGACCTAGGCATTTTTACCCATAGAACAGGCTCCATGTCCCATCAAGCAGTCATGGGCAGAGGTGACCTGTGGAAGGAAATGCTGCCATTCTGCTGCTGAAAACCTGGCAGCTTCATCTGATCTGCAGTTGGCTACTAGAGCCAAGGATGCAGATTCAGTAGCTTCTCCTGCCCTGGCATGATGGCAAGTGCTGGGCTCCTATTTCATTACGTTTCCGGGCTCACGAAGCCATATCAGCCTTGTCCACAATTAGAGCTGAGCACAAGTCAAATCCTTCACACAACTATTTTGAGAATATAAATAACAGATTCCTGACTCAGTTGCTTTGGAGTGCTTCTTGTAATGCCACCTTCTGCGTACTTGTTAAATTATGGGGATTTGTGATAACTAAAGATAGATGTGCATGGGAGCTTTGCCAATAAATCCATTTGCTTTTGGTTCACTATTAGAACTACATGTGGACATGCTTCTGTTAGTGTATTGTTCCTCTTATGAGCACTGATAATTTAGTGTTGAATTGCTATGGGAAGATCCAAGAACAATAGCTGGAGAGAGACAGTAAAGATATTTCAGGAACAGACTGCCTTATCCAAGAGGAAGCTTTTTCTATCTCCATGGGTAGGCAACATGCAGCCCTCCAGATAGTTTGACCTACAAATTGTCTCACCCCCCACCCTTGGCTAGGCTTGTTAGGTCTGGTAGGAGTCATTGCCTAAAACATCTCAAGCCACAAAGACCCCCTTTCTGAGAGTGGCAGCGCCTTTGCTGCAGGCACGTCGGAATAAAATTGTTGGTCTGGATCCATCCCAGTTGGGTTTCAGGCCTGGTCTGGGGATAGAATCACCATTGGTAGCCCTGATGGATTACTTGCTTTCAGAGAAGGATGGGGGCAGGGGTAGCCCTGCTACTTCTTGATTGCTCATTGCTTTTTGATATCGTTGATGAGATAGTCTCTTCCTGCTTTGGCTTCCTGAGATGTGAGTGGGAGGCAATTGGTCCTATGGCAGGGGAACTGTCAGCTTCCACAAGGAACCCTTTTGTCCCCATAGTTTTTAAAATTGATCTGATGCTGCTGGGAGCAGTGATCTGGAGATTAAGGGCAAGACGTCACCAGTATGTGGATGACACCTAGCTCTGTTTCTCAGTGCAGCTGGATCAGGAGAGGCTATGCAGGTTCCTCACCAAGGCCTGGCTGCAGTTATGGTTTGGATGAGGGCCAATACACAGAACTTGAATTCACTGGATGAGGGTCAATACACTGAATAAAGACAGGACCTTGTGCCGGGGGGCCAGCAGTTCCCCCATCTGCAGATTGGGCTGCTGGCCTGTCCTGGATAGAGTTGTCCTTCCCTGGAAGGGGCAGGTACATCATTTGAGGTTGGTTCTGGATCCATATAGTGGGCATGCACCCTTTGGAACACTCTTCCTCATGTAGTTTAGATGGCAAAGAACGTGGCATCTTCCAAATCCCTCCTGAAAGCATACGTGTTCACCCAGGCTTCCCCAGGATTATAATTAAATCAGTCATGCTGCCCCCATTTTGTGCTGCGCATGGATAACTCTGCATTTTGAGAACCAACACTGTTTTTAATATTGTGCTTGAAACATGATGTTAAATGTTTGTGTGTAAAATGGGTTTTATTCTACTTAAGCTTCCATATAGCCTGAAGTGCCTGAATCTGCCTTATCTTGGAAGTTGAGCCTGGTTTAGCCTGGTTTATCTTGGAGGTTAAGCATGGTCAGGCCTGGCTGAAACCTGGATGGGAGACTTAGATGTCATGGACTGCCCAAAGTGCTTCTACACTATGGGCAGTATAGAAATGTTGTGTGATGCTAATCATAAATAATATAAATGTCATAAATAAATGCATTGCACATTCCCGCCCTGGACTTATCCCAAAGAAGCATACGAAAGCTGCTGGTTGGCTTAGTTTTTTATTGTATGAGAAATATTACAAAAATGATGGTTTCTGCTAAACCTTTTTGCATAAGCATGGGGATACACTTGCTTCAAGCTATCTGGGGCCAGCCAGCAATGGAGAGACTTACTCTTAGGCGGAGGGGCATCACATATAAGTCGTCTCCCCACCCTCCAAAAGAAAGGGATGTTGCCACAGATTGGTTTGTGCACACACTCCCTTTTCTGGATGGCCAGACTGTGACTGATATGTTCTCCTTTCATGTTCCTTATAGCAGAGTCCCTCTTCCGAGCCCCTGGAGTGAAGCTGAAACCAGAAGCATGCGACCTCTTCACTCCATATAAGAAGAGCCAGCACCAGGTCGGCTCGAGCAAGTTTTGGTGAATGGAGCACAGGACGCGTGGGGGTGATGTGAGGAAAGAGGTGGCTGCTGCTTAATGGGACAATGGGGACAGCTGCTGAGACTCTCCATGTTAGGAAAGCACCTGGATTTACTCTCGAAACAGCAGTCACAGCAGAGAAACTTCTTATGGGCACAATTAGAAGGAACAAAACAAAATTAGAAGTGGCGCAAGTGGAATACTCTTGCTGAGGGACAGCACTGTGGCAGGCCTCTTCCCTTGGAGGTCTAAAACTCCTGGAAGCAAGTCCACAGCTCCCAGTGACACCTGGACCATTTGCCAGCCAAGAGTACCATCCTACGCAATGTTAAGAGGAAAGGGGCTGACACCTCCCAGCGCGGAGCATTCTGGGAATAGTAGGGCCTTCTTTCTGTCTACATGTGCATAGGATTGTGGCTTAAGTGTTGGCACAAGGTAATTTCTCCTTGGCCTTAAGAAGTTAGATGAGGTAGAACTTAACTCATACCAGGTGCAGTAGTCGTGGCAACACCCACAATGCTCAGCAGTTGTTTCAGCCAGGGACAAGACCGGGTTTTAGCAAATTAATTCAGGCCCAGTGAAAGCAAGATTTCTCCTCCTCTGTCTCCTCATACTCCTCCTCCTCCAAATAACAACATTTTTAGCACATTCACTGCACATGGCTACATAAACCAAATCTTTAGATTGTTTTTACGGACTTGCTTTAATCTGTAATTAGTTACTCTCAGATACATATTTAATCTGTGACACATTTATCCCATTGTACATGCTGGCAGAATCAGGTGAAGGGGCACATGCCTCCTTTCCTTGAATACACATCCCAGCAATCAAGCGGAAATAGTACGTTTGTTGCCCTTTGTTTGACAAGCAATGTCAAGAAGCTCAACTTGGCAATCTTCTTGACAAATGTTAACAGTGCAATCTAATTACTGGACCTTTAGGATAAATCTAACTGTCTCTTGATAGAGATATTCCTGGACCAGAGCATGTGGGGGGAGGGGGCACAAACAGAACAGATGAGAGCTGGAAATGGTAAGAATGCAGCAACTGATCCAAGCCTTAGAGACAGACTTGTCATTCCTGGGGTTTGCTTCCGATCTTTCCCAACAAAAGCGCTCCTGTGGGAAGGAGGGGATTAGTCTAAAGTTGAGCAAAGCCTCCAGGGAAGATGGCTCTATGGATAAAGTCAACAAAAGGAATTGTTTAATATTTGTTATAGTTTCCTAGAGGGACCTTCTGCCATCACTAATGGGATTATCATTATACGGTTCCGCACCAGCAGAGTGCTAGAAATGTGCATAGTGGGCAGATGATTTAGTTGCATGTCATTGACTTCTCCTCTTTCATTCAAAATATGTGTGTTTTTGGAAAGAAGAGGATGGCAAGGGAGCTGTGCATGGATCCAGTGGAGGATTTTTGGCGATAGAAGCTATCTGCCCAGGCCAGTGATATAACTGTGAGTCTGAAGTGTGTGTTTAATCTCCTTGATCTTTGCATTCTTGACAGAATGACAGAATGTCAATAGGGAAGGTGCTGCTACGTGACTTCTGGAGTGTGTGTGTGTGTGTGTGTGTGTGTGTGTGTTGCTTATGAGAACATCTCCAAGTCCTTTCATAGGTAGCACATTCTCGCAGCATTTCTCATTGGAATTCATCCAGCAAGAACAAGGACTGTGCTCTTCACTGTACCAGACTATTTTCATTCAGTCTTCTAGGGCAGATGTACTTATCTCCAAATAATCAAATCTTCAGCTGAGGCAAATAAGTATAGAAATGAGAAATGATATGAGCAACTCTGTAAATGAGTTCACAGAAGTTATTAGTCGTTTCTGATCTGAAAAAAAAAGGAACGCACGCGCACACACACACACACACACACAGAGCACTGGTTAGACTGAAGTGATTCTTATCCACAGTACTGCTAGCCATTAGCAACCCTCACTTATTCATGTGACTGTTATGCAACTAAATAATGTCACCATTAGGCATAAGTGTTATTCTCATTTCTGAAGTCTGAGCAAGGTGGCCCTGCTTCAGGGAGAGGATTTTTTAAAGTCAACCACATCTATCTAGGCATGAAAATACAAGGCTGGCAAGAGTCCGTGACTACTGAGGGACCGCCTCCCATGTTACTCCATGGGCTCTAGGAAGGACGGTTGTCTGGTGTATTGATTTTACCATCCTGTGAGTTGTTCTGGTGGACCTGGAAAAAGCAAAACTTGTCACCTCAAAGAAAATGAGTGGTACTGACTTGATTTTTCTTTCAGTTGGTCTCTTCTGTGAGGGCTATTCACAGATCACCTCATCAGAATGTCATGATAAACTAATGACCTGAAAATTAAACTATATTTCAAAATCACGTTTGTTGACTTTGAACTGTACCACATATTAAGGTAGAAGGAGAAGATAGCACAATTGTGACAAGGGAGAGGATATAGGTCGGGGTCCTCAAACTTTTTAAACAGGGGGCTAGTTCACTGTCCCTCAGACTGTTGGGGGGCCGGACTATAGTTTGAAAAAAATATGAACAAATTCCTATGCACAGTGCATATTAAAATTAATTAAAATTAAAAATAATTAAAAATAAAAATAATTTAAAAATTTAAAAAATGTTTGCTTTGCTCCCTCGGGCTGCAGCAGAAGCCCAAGATGAGGTCGGGAAGAGCATGTCCATATTCAAGGAACATAGCTACAACACAACCAAAGCACTAAATATAGTATTTTGCATAATACAGCTGATGACTGCAACTGGCATTTACAAAGAATGAAGCAAAAATACTAAGGATAAATACTGTTAATGCCACTCTTAGTATTTGAAACAAGTCAGCCCAGAACAATTCCCACAGTGCACAATGGCTGTATTTGGATGCAGAGCTAATTACTACCATAGTTTAAGTGCAACCTTGCCAAAACTGGTGCTGTCCAGATGAGGTGGACTACAACTTCCATTGGCCATGCTGGTTGGGCATGATGGAAGTTATAGTCCTCGCCACCGCCCTGGTTCCGAGGAAGCGGGAGTGGGAGGCTGGAGAGGCGAGGCGGCTCAGCAAGGCGGCTGCAGCTTGCTCGAAGAATGCTGCGATGGAGGTGCAGAAGCCCGGCCCCGCTCTGCTTCAGCCTCAGCCTGTCTGCCCCCAGGCTCAGTGAGGCGGCCCAGGGATGTGGCTCACATAATTAAAAATTGATTTAAAAAGTTACATTTTTCTTACCTTCAATCCTCTTTTAGTTTCTTCATCTTCGTCTCTCTCTCTCTCTCTTCCACCTTCCTCTCTTCTGTTTCCCGCTCCTTATACCTGCTCTGTATGTGCATGCAGTGGGAGAGCGGGGGAAGAGCTGGTGCACACACAGTTGAGCTGTTACAATTTGGCACATGTGCCGGCTCTCTGCTTAGTTTCAAAGAACGCCTGCGCCAGCTCAGAGCTTTTGGACTCACTTGGAGATGGTTTTCTCCGAGTGAGTCCAAAAGCTCTGAGATAGGCTAGATAAATGAACATGGCGGGCCAGATGTGACCCATGGGCCATAGTTAGACAACCCATGATATAGGTGAATGAAGCATTAAACCTCTCCCCCATTAAAAAGTCCTTTAAAAATAGCTACTTAATGGATGGTCCTTGAGTTGCACATATTGGATATTTTATTTTTAACAGAAATTAGCAGTTATCTTATTTTTCTTTACATTTCTAAAAAAATACATCAAATTTTCTGTCACTTTCTTCATTTTCTTTTGCACAGAGCAAATTTCATGGCCAGTTTCAGAAACTGAAAAGGAAAAATAAACCTCTGATCTCCAGTATAAATGCTAACACAATGCTAGCCATAACAGCGCAAGATGGGCAATGTTCCTTTTTTTAACACCCCCCTCCCCAAAACCCACACACAACCTGTGACAGCATTTGGGAAGCACAGAGAAAAAGACCTTCCTTGGATCATGTGAAGGTGTCACCTCAGTAATGATACCAGGGACAGAGATAAAAGTCCTCTCTCTCTGGTCATGAGGCACAGCTTCATTACTCTCACAGTGGGTGGTCTGTGGCTCTCGATGCTTGCATTTTTTATTTTTTATTTATTTTTTATTCTCTGATAATGAGAAAATGTTTAAACTCCCATCCCTGTGTTTAAACACTTCTTCCTGCTGACAGCAGTGGGGAGAGCCCTTGATCAGCTGTCAGACTGAAAAGTGCAATTTTTTCGGGAAAGTAAACAGCATGTTTGCCAGTGGGAAATAATTTTCTATTTGTTTGGCACTGTTAGCACTGGGAGTGATGGAGCCATGTCAAAACAGCTGATTGACTTGGTGATGGGAAATAGCAAATGGGCAGGGGGAAAATGCCCTTTATTGTGTGCCTTCAGTAACAAGAGCTGGTGATTTCTAGAATTTCACTGCATAGCTATGTGTTGGCTCTCTTTCTGCAAGTTTCTGAATGGTGCAATGCACAAAGAATACTGGAGAGTTATACTGTCATTCAGTATAAAAGTTTGTGGCATGAGGATCACTTTGCAAACCATGCGTTCTTTTATATGCTATATCCCAGGCACCTGTCTACACCTCACGTATTTCCCACTAGCAAATGGACAGAGGTATGAAACGGCCCTTACTGTGATACAGAGAACGCTTCAACACGGCATTATGCCCACCCCATGCCCACTGGCACCTCTAGGCACAGCTGCTTCCCGGTGTGGCCCTATAGCACCTGGAAGCAGCAGTCCATAAGGGGGCAGCCTCATCAGAGGGAAGGGGAAGACCTATAGCTCTGCTCACCTACCTGCTCTGGACTCAAATGGTGTGAATGACAAAGCTAAGTCCTGTCTTGGGAGCTCTGCCCCCTAGTAGCTGAAGTCATTCCCACAGGCTTCAGCCACATGGACAGACTTAAATAAAATTAATGCATTTAAAAAGCAAAATAACTCCACGGTGCGCACCCCAGGTGTCTAGGCTTCATGGTCTGGGTACTGATTTGCCTCTGGGTTCCTCTTGCCATAATTTGCTGCTGTTCTGTGCCACCAAGTCATCTCTGACTTTTTATTTTTTATTTATTTTTCAATTTATATCCTGCCTTTTTCCTACAAAGGGCTCAAACTCATGATGACCCTCTGAATAGATGTCCTCCAAAAAGTCTGCAGGCTGCGGTTTCCTTTATAGGATCAATCCATCTCACAGCTGGTTATCTTCTCCCTTCTACTGTTCCTGGCATTAGTGCCTTTTCCTGTGAGTCTTGTCACTGAAGCACAATTTTGTCAGTGTTGTCATTTGTAATTAGCAGGGATGCTGCTAGCAAAATAGGCGGCACTTAACACTTAAATAAATAAATTCTTGCTTTTAGGGGAAGTCTGGTTTGATTTCTCTGGACCTAGTTTTCTGCTCATTTCTTGGTTGCTGCCTCCCTTGGAATTGTTGACTGGCCCAAGGTATGCAAAATCTTTCACAATTTCAATTTTTTCACTATTGACCTTGAAGCTGTGTGATTGTCCCAGAGACACAATTTTTCTTAATATTCAGCTGCAGTCCTGGTTTTGCACCTTCTTTCCCTTTCCTCACGAGTTGTTTCAATTCATTGCTGCTTTCTGC